TGCTACCAAGAAAGGATCTGTCCTACATTCACAATAACAGCCTCTCTCATCAGCTTTGTGTTATTCACTAATTGTCTTAATCTTTCATCATAAACAGTTTAATCACTCATGCTTTTTAAAAAATGTATTCCCTTTTCATGCATACTGTATGCATGAATAGACCTGCTTAGACCACAATTTTTGGAAAATAAAAATACCTCTTTCAAAGCAGATACTCACCAAAGAATTCTCATTCATCCTTGAATCTCTGAAAGGCCCAATCACTTTTTCTGTAGTTCTCAACATGTTCCCCCCAATCTAGTTATGTTGCCTAACAGAATATTCCCTGCCTTCTCCAGATAGCATTCTATTTTTCCCCAAACTTCCTCTGGTTATTCATTATTTCTACTCACTGAAGCACAACATACAATGATCATGAACCTATGAATTCCTATTTTTATACACATCCATAACAGCCTAGATAAGCTACATTGGCACAATATATTGGCATTATATAGATAAGCTACATTGGCAAGATACAGAGCTTAAAGGAAGGTGGACTCTATATACTAGGGGTTCATAAACCTTTCTCCATCATATCTCCCTTTAGTGTAATCTTAATGTACACACATCCTCTAAAAATCCAAACACCAAAATGAACACAAATGAACAATGAAAACAATACAATGAAACTATTCTGAGGGCTTCTAAATATCCTTTCCTGCAACTTTTGAGTGCCAGGGCCTGGATAGCTCTTAAAGGTAATGGACTATATATAGTCATCTAAAATGTGACGGTCAATGAGTTCAATTCCCAGTAGAGGCTTTGAACCACATGAGAACCTACCTGAGTCTGATGATTCCCAGTAAAGATCAAACCAGTAATGTGGTGCCTTGTGTTGGTCAATGCAAATGAAAAATACCACATAGGATATACACTATGTAAAAACAGTGAAGTTCTCCTTGCTCCAAGAGTGGAAGTCATGCGAAACCCCATATATGGGAACATGATATCTTGCAACAGCCTATGTCTGTGATGAGATTTATTATAATATTACACACACACACACTTCATTATAGAATTTTGGAATCATATTTTTGGACTTGAGACCTAAATAGGTTATTTTAGATGTTGCCTTCTTCTAAAAGGTGATTTAAGGCTCTCTGCTGTGAATGTTTTCACATTTGGAAGAAAAGCTAGCATATACAAATTTGTAAGACCTTTTCAGTGATGTCTATCAAGTGAATTCTGGTCACTTGAAGAGGCAGCAGAAGATGGTAGAAGCTTCTCAACTGGGGATGCTCGAAGAACAGCTGATTTGTTTTTATGATAGGAAAGAGGTGAGAATTTTGTTGAGTTAATTTATTTACCACTTCTTAAAACTGCTATAGCCAAAGTTCATCCATTTCTCTTAAATAGGATGAAAAGAAATTTTAACTGAAAAACGAAATCACATGTGGGAGAAGGTGAAACTAAATGGTGCATTCACTCAGGCACAGAGTCTCAAACATTTAATTCTTAAAATTTTTCTGACAGACTGCATATGTTTAATAGAATAGTTACTACATGATCTTTCTAATGCTCTAAATACTTAGCATACTGAATATGGCTAATGTGGATAGATGACAATTTCATTCATTCAGTCCATTTTTTATAAGGATGTACCAACATTTGAAAATCTCTATATGACTGAAATTAAAAGAAGTTGAGAGTAAAAATGCATCAGAAATAGGAGGAAGTAAAACCAACAGAAACACCTGCCCCTCTTCTTCTAGGAAGTCTATTTTATTAGGTGCTGACATTCGTATCTATCCTGATAGATCTCAAAACACAGTTCCTCATCAAAGACCAAGAAGATGGAATATAAATTAAGAAATTAATTAAATAAGCAAGGATTCAATCCAAAAGTTTCCAATTTTCTGGAAACAAATGCATCTTTACAGCCTGTGCTTTTTCCCGAAAAAGGCAAAAAGGGCAAATCTCATTTATAATTTCAGCCTAAGCGCCATAATTGGGAACAAATTCTCATACTGGGCATGTGCATGGAAATACATATGTCTTGTTTTTATTTTAAAAAGAATGGTCAAGAGAGCAAAGGGAAAGTGCAATTCTTTTCCATAATGAAAATGTGTGGTCTAAATTTGAGCCATGAATTCCTATCTTAGCACCAATACTGGAATATACAGGGAAAAGAAAAGAGGTGAGAGAGGTGCATACAGCTTTAGTATTCATGGCTGAGTTTAAAAAGCTCAGAACAAAAGTGGCCATTAGGAGTATACACATATTCAATTTCTGGTCACACCATACCCTCTAACAGATTAAGAGGGCCAATGTATTACACAAACATTATAAATAAGTTAGCACTGAGGTTAGAAGTTAGTTTTGATCCAAAGCAATCTTGAGTGGTTTGTGGTTAAACTGATCTCTCCAGTCATGTAAATACTGAAGAAAGGGACAACAGTGAGTTAACATTCTCTTCTGGCTATTAGCACAAAAACAAATCCTCAGAGCTATCCCACAAAAACAGGGGTTGTCTAGAAACGTCCTCTCTCTGATCATTTCACCACTACCACGACTCCGTGGTGGATGGGATGGGAATCAGAGCAAGTCTACCCAAACTCTTGTCTTCCAATGGCTCCAACCTTCTTTGGGCTTCTAC